GCAAAACCCCTTAAAAGTCGGGCATCCTAAACAGTATTCGTTAATAACCCAAGAAAGACAAGAGAGTTGGTGGAGTTAACTTTTAAATGGAATAACTCCCGCTGTCCGTACACTGCAGAATGAAATGAAAAGCAAAATATTTTTAGGGCAATAAAAGGTTAGCGACGATTTCAAGATGCGCTCCTCTACAGCCCCAGTGAAGCTCCATTATCAACATAAATGCACAGACTTGGCTTGTGTGTAGTTTCGATTACGAACGAAGAAATATTACGAAATTGGCATAACACCAACGAAAAAGTGCGAAGCATCGAATTCAAGCACATACACTAAAAAGGCCTCGTCCATCGTCCTGGTTGAGTCGGCGATCCAACATTACTTCCAAATGACCTGACATAAAACTATAGTCAAATAATGAACGCAGTACAGGGAACGGTCACTCCTCGAATTATATGGACAAATACAGTCCCATGGGCTGAATCGGTGGGGTTCTTAGGTAAGACCTCGCAGAGAAAATTAACCAACATTTCTAAATATTGTGAGAAAAAAATGATGTCAATTCTCCAAATGGGAATTTAACGTGCCTCATATGACAGACATAAGCGCACATGAAACCTGATTTCACATTTTTAGAGCCATGTACGGACAGATAACGTCCTCTAAAACACTGACTTTCTGGCCCGCTCAATTTAAAAGAGAGAAGGACGATGACAGTTTTACAAGTTAAGTTTCAGCGTACTTGAAAATTCAGAACACGAGGCACAGATGTGCGCGATAACTCGTTTTACAGTTAATGCCTGCACAGGAACATCAGACATCCTCGTAAAATTTACAGCTTTCTCAACCTTTCTGGTTTGGTTCTTGGGTTAAAAAGGTGCCAATACTGTCCCAACTTGAAGTCTAATTTGCGTGTGTGTGCAACGTAGGAGTGCGCGAAACTGGATTTAAATTCGTTGGATTGGACACGGACAAAGAATATCGTGAAATTTCAGCTTTCCAGCTTGGCTGATTCACAGCCTAGCCTCCATAAAATATCTTTGACATTCCCATATATGAAGAGAAAGACGTGTATTTTCACTTTGCGTCCGGAGACTCAACCACTGTGATGAACTAACTTGCCATTCTTGTCTTCATAACTTTCCTTAAAATATGCGCTTCCGCATTTCACTAATAGCGGAGAAAAAGAAACCTGATGTAAGACTTGCAACTCCCAACGGCTGTGCAGTGAGCAGTGTCATTCGTAGTGACTTATCTTCGATGAAAGCGGATGCCGACATCGGATAGAAATGAGCTTGCAATGGTAATTTTTCAAATCTCCGTCGCTTGATCATCTACAACTGATAAAAAATCAAATCACACGCCTAAGAGGGTTTGTTAATAATTTCTTACGTAAAAATTTCCCAAGTAAAATTCTCCGTGCTCGTACCCGAAAGAGAAGTGCACATGAAAGCTGAATTTGAAGTTCCAGGATTGTAAAACACCATAACAAATTTTCAGACTTCTGTAGGGGTGGCTCCCCAGGTAAAAGATTTCACGCTAAAAATCCCACGTATCCGCACTAAGATCTAGATGTATATAGAATCTGGATTTAATTTTTCGGGAGCGCACATGCGTTTGGAACATCACCCTGAAAATTCAGTTTCCTAGCTTTTCTGGTTCACAAGTCGATGACTCCAGGAGCGCACAAACACAAATACATACATACAACACACACACACACACACACACACACACACCTAAACAAACACATATACAGAAGGGCCCTCAACAATGTGCGTTTTGTGCAACTGGTACAGTACAAAATACATGAAAAATGGCATTTATCAAACTTTCTTTTATTTGTGAAACAATTCAGCATAACTAATAACGATTCTCTTCACCCTTCGCCACTATGCTAGGAGTTGACGCTGTATCAGTATGTGCTTCCCAAGGTATGAGATTCAAGATGAAGAAGTATCAGCAGCGACACTTTTACAATTAATCTGCAGTACCTGAAATGCATTGAGATCGGTGAAAAATTCGTCGCCACTTTCTATAGTAGTTTGAAGGCGCATTGCCATCTCGAAATTCTTCGTTGCTCGCAGATCCACCACATTCTCGATTTCAATGAATTGTGATAACATAGGCAATCGGATTGTGTGCATGAAGCTTATTTTTCCACCTTCGGCTACTAGCACCTGTTCAAAAACAGATGACCAGTGAGAATTCAGGCTTCTGATAGTTCTTTGAATAACCATAACAGAATGGCGCTATGTGAATAAATTTAAA